AAAAAGCAAGAACATACATCAAAATGATTCTTGAACCATAAAGTTCCCTCCTTTGTTCACTAGTTTTAGATTTGGTTCTCTTTAACCCTAAAAATCACTCTTTAACTTGTTCCTAAATGGATTTTCATGTAGATTCCAAAAATGGGCTTAGATTTGTGAAAATAAAACTGATTCTTCCAGCAACAAACTGACCAAACCACTAGAGGTTTTGACCCAAAATTTTCAGCTTTGCTTTTAGGCTTCCAACACTTGTTTCTTTTAGTCTACCCTACACCATTCCTCATTTTAAGCATAATGGAAGCCTTAAAACAATGAAAGGCTCATCCTAGGGTCCAGTTCTTCACTTGGCCGAAAATAACTCTCACAACAACAACCATGAAAAATGCTTTAAAATCACTTAAACTCACTTACCAACACTAGGATCTAGCTTGTGTTGTTGTGTCTTAGCAAGTGTTATGATCAAAACTTCTTTCCCCTTTTTATTAATCAGTTTGGTCCACATTAAGAGAGGGAAGAGACAGATTTTAAACCATAAAAATGAAAGAAACCAAAGCAAGAATACTTCTAGGACCAAGATCTAACCTTGAAACCTTGCTAGGATGATCAAAAGTGCTCCCTTTCTCCTTGTTTCCTCTCAAACTCTCTCTTTTTCTCTATTTTTCTCCCTTGCACGAAATGAACATCTGAAAATGGGGAGAGAAGAGCTTGATTAAGGCTTCAAAATATCCCAACCACCTTCTTTAATGATAGTCCAAGTGTCATTACCCTACTAAGTCTTGATTCCTCTCTCTTAATTAACATAATTCCAAATGAAATTATTTACTAAAGTCAAAATCCTCTCCATTCATGGAATGACACTTGGCTAATTCAAATCTTCTCCTTCAAGAGCTTGACACATGGCTCAATAGGATCCCTTGGATTTGCAAGACACCAATCTTGCTTTATCGGTATACTTTAGGCTCTGAGTTTAACTTCTTTTTTATAATTACAGTAACTTAGTCTCTGTAATTATTTTCTATCAGATCCTTAATTTATTCTCCTCATTATTGTCTTCCCAAATTGTCCTCTTTGTCTCAAAATTAATTTCCTAATATTTAAATAAAAAGGAAAATTAATTTCCTTCTCTTTAGGGATTTTTCCACTTTTCACATTTATTTGGAAAAATCTTGGACACTTGAGGGTCTCCATTTAATTCCATAATTCCTTATAATTCCTTGGGATCTCATAGGAATTTTCTTGGATTTTATTCCTCTTAAAATATTTATTTGGAATTTTCCAAATAAAATCCCTCAATTAGCCTAAATCACCCTTAAATTCTCTTATAATTTCTCTAAGGGTAATTTGGTCATAAAACCAACTTTATAATTTCATATAACTCTCAAAGGATATTATCCCTATTTTTCCTTAATTTTCCATGGCTCGAAAATATTTTTCCTTATTTACATTTGACCAATTTTCTTTAATTAGTCAATTTCCTATAATTGGCTTGGAAAATTACTGTAATTATTTTCCACCAAAATTCTTTGACTTTTCCTTATTATTTTTAATCCTCAATAATTTGAGAATATTTCTTATCTCTAATTATCATAATACTGGATGTGACATTTCTCCCCCTAAATAAATTTCGTCCTCGAAATTTAAAGCATACCTTAATGGAAAAGCTCTGGGTACTTTTCCTTCATCTCAGCTTCCATCTCCCATGTGGCTTCTTCAGAGGAAAGACCCTTCCAGACCACTTTGACCAGGGGAATCTGCTTGTTCCTCAGCTGCTTGGTCTTCTGATCAATGATTCGTTCTGGTCTAACCTCAAAAGATAGATTATCCCGAAGCGCAATGTCATCATAGCTTATGACATGCGTGGGATCTGGATGGTACTTCTTCAGTTGGGAGACATGGAAAACATCATGAATCTGGACTTAACTTTGGGGGAAGAGCCAACTTGTAGGCCACTGGTCCAGCTTTAGATAAAATCTGGAATGGTCCAACATACTTCGGACTGAGCTTCTTAGTCTTTAGAGATCGACCGACTCCCGTTGTTGGCGACACTTTGAGGAATACGTGATCACCAACGTCAAATTCTAACGGTCTCCTTGTATCGGCATAACTCTTCTGTCTACTCTGAGCCGTTAGAAGCCTTTGCTGAATAGCTTTTATCTGTCGGGAAGTCTGATCCACCATGTCAGGACCAAGAGAACTTCTTTCACTAAGCTCTGTCCAGCATAAGGGAGATCTGCACTTTCTCCCATACAGTGCCTCGTAAGGTGCCATTCGAATACTTGAATGGAAACTGTTATTGTAGGCAAATTCAATTAATGGTAGAGACGTATCCCAATTACCGCCAAAATCCAATACACAGGCACGTAACATATCCTCCAAGGTCTGAATGGTTCTTTCTGTCTGCCCATCAGTCTGGGGGTGGTAGGCTGTGCTGAATCTGAGAGTGGTGTCCATTTCTTTCTGTAAGGACCTCCAAAACTTTGAAGTAAATCTTGGGTCTCGGTCCAAAACAATACTGCTTGGCACACCATGCAGCCTAACAATCTCCTTGATGTAAAGTCTCGCTAACTTCTCTGGGAATCTTTACATTCATAGAAAATGTGCAGACTTAGTCAGACGGTCTACTATCACCCATATTGCATCATGTTTAGCTGCTGTCATCGGTAACCCCACTATAAAGTCCATAGATATACTGTCCCATTTCCACTCAGGGATATTCAGGGGTTGCAACTCTCCTGCAGGTTTCTGGTGTTCTACCTTCACCTTTGGCAGGTAAGACACTTTGTCACATATTCCGTGATATCTTCTTCATTCCAGGCCACCAGAAGAGTTCTTTAACATCATGGTACATCTTTGTCATTCCTGGATGAAGAGTATATTTGCTCTTATGGGCTTCGGCTAGTATCTCTTTTCTGAGGTCAACACTTGGGGAACATAGGTTCTTCCTTTAAACTTCAGTATCCCTTCCTTAGAAATTTCGAAGTTCTTATTCTCACCTCTAGACAGCTTCTCCTTGAGAATTCTCGCTAGCCAGTCCTGTGACTGTGCTTCTCTGATTTGATCCTTGAGCAGGGCTGTAAACTGGGTTCTACCTCTATTTCCTTCTACTAATTGCATCTGATATAGAGGACCCCAATCTCTGAAATCCTCTACCAACTTCTGCTCTCTGATCATCAGCGATGCTACCTGTACTGTCTTTCTGCTTAAGGCATCCGCGACTACATTCGCTTTGCCTGGATGGTACTTAATTTGAAAATCATAGTCTTTGAGTAAGTCCATCCACCTTCGTTGTCTCATATTCAACTCTTTCTGATCATGAAGGTACTTAAGGCTTTTGTGGTCACAAAACAATTCTACGGTTGCTCCATACAGAGTGTCTCCATATCTTCAGTGCATAAACTATCGCCGCCAATTCCAGGTCGTGGGTCGGGTAATTCTCCTCGTGAGATTTCAACTGGCGTGAGGCATAGGCTACTACCCGCCCTTGCTGCATAAGTACACATCCCAGTCCCTGCTTGCTAGCATCTGTATAAACCACATACGGTTGTGAAGGATCGGGAAGTGTAAGTACGGGAGTAGAAGTGAGCTTCCTCTTCAGCTCCTGAAAACTAGCCTCACTCTTCTCGTCCCACAAGAACGGCTGGTTCTTCCTGGTTAACTTGGTCAGCGGGAGAGCAATTCGAGAAAAGTCCTGGATGAATCTTCTGTAATACCTGCTAGTCCGAGGAAACTTCTGATCTCGGTCACCATCTTGGGTCTCTCCCAGTTGAGTACTGCCTCAATCTTACTGGGGTCGACAGCCACTCCCTCTCGGGAAATCACATGGCCGAGAAATCGGACTTCCTGGAGCCAAAACTCACACTTACTAAGTTTAGCCACCAGCTGTTTCTCTTTCAGGGTATTTAGGACAATCCTCAAATGCTCCTCATGCTCTTCTGGAGATTTGGAGTACACTAAGATGTCATCAATAAATACAACCACAAATTGATCCAAGTAAGGACGAAAAATCCTATTCATGTAGTCCATGAATATCGCAGGTGCATTCGTCAATCCAAACGGCATCACTAAAAATTCATAGTGTCCATATCGGGTTCTAAATGCAGTTTTTGGGACATCTTCAGACTTAATCTTGAGTTGGTGGTAGCCAGATCTTAGGTCAATCTTAGAGAATACACTGGCTCCAACTAGCTGGTCTAACAGATCATCTATCCTGGGAAGCGGATACTTGTTCTTAACTGTGACTTTGTTCAACTCCCTGTAGTCTATACACAGCCTTAGACTACCATCCTTTTTCTTGACAAACAACACTGGAGCACCCCATGGCGACACACTTGGCCTAATAAAACCTTTTTCAAGTAGCTCCTCTATTGATTTTTTAAGTTCTGTCATTTCATTAGGAGCCATTCTATAAGGGGCCTTAGAAATTGGTCCTGCTCCAGGTACTATGTCAATTGTGAATTCTACTTCTCTGTCTGGGGGTAATCCTGCGATCTCTATCGAAAACACTTTTGGAAATTCCCTAACTACCAGGATTTCTCCTATCCCTTCCTCAACTTCGACTTGCACCGAGAAGAAAATGAGGAATCCTTGACAGCCTTTTCGTAAGCATTTGCCCGCTTGGGCTTTCGTAATGAAGTTTAATCTAACTTCTGGATTCAACTCTAAATCCTTTCGGGGTAAGATTAGGGTTTTGTTCTTACAATCCATTAGGATATTGTGGGATGACAACCAATTGAGTCCAATCACCACATCCATCTCATGGAAAGGCATGCATATCAAATCTATAGCAGTGCAACAGTGCTCATAACAAACTATACAGTTCAGGCATACATCAGATGTAATTACCCTACTCTGCGTTGGGGTAGACACATGTATATCATATGGCAATGTATTTATACTCAAGCCAAGTCTTTCTGCACAGGCATATGAAATAAAAGAATGACTAGCACCCGAATCAAACATTGCAATCACCGGAGAATTGTTAATCATGATCGTACCTTGGATCATCTCCGGAGACTTTCGGGCTTCTTCTCTTGTGATGGCAAACACTCGGCCCTGGGTGCGTGGTCTTGCCTGCTCAGTGTTCTGTGGGCACTCTCTTGAGAAATGTCCAGGTTTGCCACAGGTGTAGCAAACATTCTGCCCAGCCATGCACGGCCTGTCACCGTGATTCTTGCCACACTTAGGACACTCCTTGCCCTTCGGTGCTTTACCGCCTTTCTTGTTCTTGCGGTTATTCCAGGGTTGCTTCCTCTTCTTATTCACATTGGACGAGGTGCCACCTTGACCTCCTTGACCTCCCTTCTTTGCTCGGGGAGTTGTCTTGACTATCAGATGATGGTTGAAGCTGCTTTCCGTGATTCGGCAAGCTTCCACTGCTTTATTGAACTGCTCAAATTGTCTGGGAGCAATCATCTCCCTCAATGATGGCCTCAGTCCTCGAACCATCTTCTCTGTTGTCCACCTCTTATCATCTCTATATCGGAGATAGCTTGAATAATGAGAGAGACGGATGAACTTAGCCAAGTACTCATCAAAAGGCTCGTCATCCTTTTGCTTCAAAGTCAGAAACTTTGCTTCTCTTTCATCGCGGACAGATCTCGAGAAGTACTTCTCATAAAACTGCTCCAGAAACACTTCCCAAGTCACCGTCGTGTTTCGAGCATCGAGAAGAATCTCAGTTCTTCCACCAGCGATCCGCATCTTTCTCTAGCTTATATATCGCCATCTGGGCTTTTCGCTCTGATGAGCAGTCCATCACCTTGAAGATCTTCTCTAGGCGATTAATCCACTCTTTCGTCGCTTGAACATCGAATGTCCATCAAATGACGGCGGGTTGTGCTTACAGAATCGGGTCATCCACTGTTGAATGCTGTCGGGTTCTGCTGCTGGCATTGCCGGTCTTGGCAATTGTTCTGATGCTGGTGCTGCAGAGACCTCTTCCTCTGGTTGCCTCCTCTCGAGGTTTGCTAATGCTGTTGCCACTGCTGCAGCTATCGCTGCATCCCTTTCTTGTTCTTGACGAGCTTGAGCTGCTCTCATGTCCTCGATGGTCTTCTGTTGTTGCTCGAGGCGTTCCAGAATCAATTGTAATGGATCAGGAGGGACCCTTGCATCTTGCACTAGGGGTCTCTCTGGTGAAGGGTTTTGTCGGGTTCTAGCCATTGCTTAACTAACCGAATAGCATAACAAGGAACAAGAAAAATAAATATCATACTTGGATTTCATTATCAAAACAGGCATACAGCAATCAGCACTTAAACATCAACCAGCCAGAATACAATCAACATACAGCAGCCAAGCATTAAACAACCTAACCTACTAGGGTTAGTTGTACCAAAATACATCCTACGTCAATGATAGGAACATCCTAATCATCTAAAGAAAGTGAACGATAACAAAGCCCTCAAGGCTTCGAATCCAATCCTCAACATCATCTCCCAGTAGGTAGTTCAGGCGAGTGATCTCATGGTTCCATAAAGGGGTATTGGGTAGGACCTCTACCATCTCACTCAGCCAGTCATAAGGATCCAGGTAAGGGTTGCCTGGTCCATGTGCCTGATACAGCTTTCTCACACCCTGGAGGTAATCCAGGTGTACTCTCAGGTTTGCATCAACATCCCTCCTGATGTGACGCCCTATGAACCTCAGCCGGTCACTCAGCTGACCCACACTACGGATCTCATGACTAGGCTGAACTGGTGCAGGTACAAATGGTACAGTAGGTACTACAGGTATTACCGGGGCTGGGAGTACAACTGATACAGTACTAGGTCCAGGGACATTACATGGATACATAGCCGGAGTAACATGCTGCTTAAGAGACTGAACATAAAGATCTAAATCTAATGGCTCTTGGTACATTCCAGTTACAAGGTTGACCAAGTCTCCGGGTCCGGGGAGATACAGCAACTGTTCTGCAGTGATCCCTAGCAGCTCTGAATAGTGCTCAACACAATCATTGGAGCACACTGATGAATAGCCAGGGTTGGCATCTCCCATTACCCATTCCTCTGGGTCCTCGTCTTTGGTGAGATCAATCACTATTGGATCCCAAGTGTTGACTGACGGCTCAGGTTTAGTATCCCAGTCCATGGTAATCCCCATCTTGATTCCTGAAAATAGGTGTTAGTTCTCTACATCTAAGGATACTTAAGCAGAGCGTTCTATCTTATGCCAGAACCTCGCTCTGATACCAAAAATGTCACACCTTACTATAATATTGACTTAGGTTCCTTTCAAAATCATTTTTGACCACATTGGATGGTCTTGGTCTCACTTTTTACCATAAAAACGCTAATTTTCGGATTTTTACTGTTCATCGGGTAAAAATCCAGTTTTTCTGGCCCAACTTCAAAAATTCATAACTTATTCTACAAAAATCCAATTTGGGTGGTTCAAAATTATAATTAAATCTCTTTAAGTCCTCTTTCAAGAAAAAATAATCTCATTGTCCAATTATTTATGAGAAAGTGTCAGGTTTTTGAGAAAACAACACTGTCCATTTGCCAAAAACCCTGATGTCCAGATTCTGACCATTAACTTTGAAAGATCATTATAAATCGTATAGTGGTCCATTTTTAACGTATTAGCTATCAATTTGAAGCTCAGGATGTCATCTTTCATCATGCCAAATTTCATGATTTAAAGCGTTCGGGAACATAATCAAAAATTCGCGTGAACCGGTCAGGGTCAGTGTGCTTCCAGCACTGTTAGTTTAATATTTACATAACCAAAATAAGCTCACGAATTTTGTGGCTAAACTCCACAAATCAACCTTCAATCTCAGCTTCCCTTTTGAAGATTCAGGCCCTAAAATGTTACATGATTCTTGGGGGATGAGATTTTTGGAAATCCCAGTAGTAAATTAACCAACTATATCACCAAGCAAGCATCATTATTATGCATGATCACATTAGCTACTATGGATGAACTAACATGCTTATCATTTGACAAACTCAATCATGCAAAGGCCAAAGCAAGATACTATAAAGAGCAGCCACATAACAATCAAGAGAGCTCAATCAAAATAATAGCAATTAACCATACAATAATCAACAATGCTAGTTAGTGGTAGTAGCTAGGTTTAACTTACTACCTTGCTTCAAAAGTCTTAGCCTTTCTTCCTTCTCCTCTTTCCCTTGGCAAATATCAAACCCTAACCATGTGATCCAACAAAAATGGCAGCAAGAATCATTATCCAACCATGAAAAAGCAAGAACATACATCAAAATGATTCTTGAACCATAAAGTTCCCTCCTTTGTTCACTAGTTTTAGATTTGGTTCTCTTTAACCCTAAAAATCACTCTTTAACTTGTTCCTAAATGGATTTTCATGTAGATTCCAAAAATGGGCTTAGATTTGTGAAAATAAAACTGATTCTTCCAGCCACAAACTGACCAAACCACTAGAGGTTTTGACCCAAAATTTTCAGCTTTGCTTTTAGGCTTCCAACACTTGTTTCTTTTAGTCTACCCTACACCATTCCTCATTTTAAGCATAATGGAAGCCTTAAAACAATGAAAGGCTCATCCTAGGGTCCAGTTCTTCACTTGGCCGAAAATAACTCTCACAACAACAACCATGAAAAATGCTTTAAAATCACTTAAACTCACTTACCAACACTAGGATCTAGCTTGTGTTGTTGTGTCTTAGCAAGTGTTATGATCAAAACTTCTTTCCCCTTTTTATTAATCAGTTTGGTCCACATTAAGAGAGGGAAGAGACAGATTTTAAACCATAAAAATGAAAGAAACCAAAGTAAGAACACTTCTAGGACCAAGATCTAACCTTGAAACCTTGCTAGGATGATCAAAAGTGCTCCCTTTCTCCTTGTTTCCTCTCAAACTCTCTCTTTTTCTCTATTTTTCTCCCTTGCACGAATCTTTTTCTCTATTTTTCTAAGACACCAATCTTGCTTTATCGGTATACTTTAGGCTCTGAGTTCAACTTCTTTTTTATAATTACAGTAACTTAGTCTCTGTAATTATTTTCTACCAGATCCTTAATTTATTCTCCTCATTATTGTCTTTCCAAATTGTCCTCTTTGTCTCAAAATTAATTTCCTAATATTTAAATAAAAAGGAAAATTAATTTCCTTCTCTTTAGGGATTTTTCCACTTTTCACATTTATTTGGAAAAATCTTGGACACTTGAGGGTCTCCATTTAATTCCATAATTCCTTATAATTCCTTGGGATCTCATGGGAATTTTCTTGGGATTTTATTCCTCTTAAAATATTTATTTGGAATTTTCCAAATAAAATCCCTCAATTAGCCTAAATCACCCTTAAATTCTCTTATAATTTCTCTAAGGGTAATTTGGTCATAAAACCAAATTTATAATTTCATATAACTCTCAAAGGATATTATCCCCATTTTTCCTTAATTTTCCATGGCTCGAAACTATTTTTCCTTATTTACATTTGACTAATTTTCTTTAATTAGTCAATTTCCTATAATTGGCTTGGAAAATTACTATAATTATTTTCCACCAAAATTCTTTGACTTTTCCTTATTATTTTTAATCCTCAATAATTTGAGAATATTTCTTATCTCTAATTATCATAATACTGGATGTGACAAATTAGAAGGTAGAAAATGCTTTGATTATGGCGTTTAAACTTTATTTTGGAAAGAATTCTAACTTGGAAAATCAAGGGACTTAATTCAGCCAACTAGGGTTCTTTGAGCTAGGGTTTGATTCTTGTTAATTTGATACTTCTAATGAGTTTAGGAGGTGAAATTATGTAGGGATATGTGAAGAACATGTGTTTAGAAGCATCAAAATTGAAGATAAAATTTTGAACCCTAAGGTACCCCTATTTAGTTGAGGTGAGAAGTGATAGGAGGGTTTGGGTTTTGATAAATTAAAGTTCATATTTAGATTCTACATGAAAAATTATGTAGGAAAAGCTTATGGAAGTTAAATTAAAAAGGATGATGTTAAAACCCTAAAAAAAAAAAAGGTTAAAAGGTTAGGGTTTTAGGTTAAAGTGTTAATGGAGTTGTTGAAGTTAATTGGAATGTCATTGTCTTGTTTGATTGATAGGCATTGGCATTAGGCAAAAAGGAGTTCAAGAACAGGAGAAGGAAGTCAAGAAAGCAAGGCTAGTAATAGGTAATAAAAACTTTCAATTTTAGTGTCAAATTGTCTTGGTTGTTTATGTTATGTGTATGTGCCATGATGTGGTTGAGTAGTTGAAATATGACTAACTCCTTGCATTAATCCCTTGTAAAATATATTTAGTTGAGTTGTTAAATGGTATGATTTATACTCCCTTTCCATGGCAGATTGATGGCATGTTTATGGTATGGTTAATGCTTGCATACAACATGCATTTGCCTTGCACTATAATGCTTTTATTGATGTTCGTTGCTACTGGGATTCTTTGGAATCTCACTCCATTATATTTGAATCACAATCATTTAGGGGATGGAAGCTCCAAGGAAAAAGCCAAGGAGATTACCTTAGTTTGAAGACCTTAGATATGCTTTAATATTTTGAAACTTTGTTATGTATAATGTGTAATTATGATGTTAACTCTTTGACTATTTTGTGCTACACACTTTGATTAAAGTATAATTTTAAGTTGATTAGTATGATAGTTAATGGTTTTGAGGTGATAAAATGTTATGGTGCAAGATTTGGTATTAAATGGTTGAAGTTTGACCTAATTGTGCCTAAACTTTGACCTGTAAAT